GGGCGTGTCAGGCTGTCGAAGAAGCAGTGTTGGGACAGCTGGACAGCCTCTGGGAAAAAGATAAAACCAGACCCACGTTTGACACGGCAAACCCCGAAGGCGCCGAGGTCGCAGAGCCCAGCGAGCAGCAGAGCAGTTGCCCCTGGCTGTGACTCCAAAGCCGAAAGCTTTCGCAGAAGAATCAGGAATTCCGACTCCCTTAAAAAAAAACAACCACCAAATGAAATCAAGAGAGAAAAGCTTTGCACCTCGCAGCGTCGTGGTCAAAGGCTGCTCCCCACGCACAGAGAGCGCTGCTGACGTTTCCATGGGAGAAAACAGAACACTATGGGTACAGCGTCCTGCACAATGTGCGGAAGCATTTGCCCGATGACGCCTGTCACGCGCGAGTACACGATGCGACTTTGCCGAGGTGATTCACAGAGGAATGGTTCCTAAGAGCAGAGTGTTAGAGACGACGCGAACACCACCAGGGCGGCCCCAGGGACGTACGCTCCGCCGTGTCCACACGATGGGACGCTGCACAGCCACGGAAAGGAACGAGGCGGAGCTCCGTGTCCCTAATGTCACCTTCGGGGGAGACTGTAACGTGAAAACGGCAAGACGCAGAGCAATATACAGGCAGGGTGCCTTTGGTATAGGAAGAGTGGGGTGCAGGCAGCAATCGATGCCTCTCTTTGCTACTGGGTTCCAAGGTCTCTATATCTCATTCTTGTAGCCTGTGAAAATAATCTCTAACAGTGGAGTTATTAAAACAAGGTCTTGTGACAAGAGGCCCTTTGAGAAACAATTCACCCACAAGAAACCAAGTGGAGATCGTTCTCCAGAGAGCGTGTCCTCGGTACTGCAGGTCTGGGCCACCGAGGGAGGGACAGCGCTGATGGAGGGCAGACCGTCCCATTCACGGAGAAGGCTGCTCTGCCTGGGTGGGGCTGAGGAGGCCGGCGTGGGGCTCACCACCGCTCCGAGCTCCTCGCCTGTGGCAGTGCTCCCCCAGGGTGTCTGGCGGTTCGGCCTCGCTCTTTGCGGCCCTGACCACGCTTCTTTCAGTGAGAGGTGCCACCTCTCTGGGCCATGCCTACACAGGGAGCTGGACAAGAATCGCCCCAACTCCCCTCCCCCACATTCCACCCCAGCCCCTAGGAGCTGCCTCTGGGGGACTTGTCACCCCTCGAGCACCAGGGGACGCCCTCCCCAAAAGCTCAGCCTCTCAACCTGCAGTGACCGGCGAGGGCCCGGGACATTCCCGACATGTGTCCAGGTCGGCCGGCCATCTTGGGAATGGGGACCTTTCCCCATGGCCGGGAGCCCAGCTGCCCTGAGTTTCCCCTCTGAGGACAGGGACTCTGGCAGCTCTCCTGCAGGGCGATGTCAGGTCAAAGGACGCATCGGGTGTAGGGGTGGCGCCAATGTGGTTTCTTGGGGTTCCCGTGGCAACGTTCAAGTTGACCCACCGTTGTTAAATGTCTCGTGGACCGGGCCCGGCACCTGTGTGGCAGCCCTGCACTTGCCAAGACCCCAGGGGTGACTGTCCCCCGCCACGGCCGTTGCCTGCTTCCTGCTCACGTGTACACAGAGACAGGGAGGACAGCCACCCTCACCGCATGTCTTCCGTGAGTGCCACACGGGCGTCAGGAGAACTCCATGGGCGGCTGAGTGGGGCCGCCCGTCACGGGCTTCCTTCGGGAAGAGGGGCCCTCTGGGGACTTAGGGTACTTCCGGGCCCAGCTGCACGCACAACCGAGCGTCTCACACCCTGACCTCTGAGGACCCCCCAGAAGGACTGTTGGATTTTGATTTCGACCCAACTTTTAATAAAGAAAATTCATCCACAGAGGTTCTGCCATCAGCCACTATATCCGATTATTGGAACCCAGGAGACCGAGTGTCCGTCCGGCCGTTTTATCTGCTGGCTGGCGGGCCCGTTCTTCTTGTGTATTGAATATCCTGGAGGAATGTTTTCCCAGCACGCACTCAGTCCGAGACAGTAAACCCATTCGGGACCCATTGGGACAATAGCCTGTCTCCTGGTGACTCAGAACAGGTTTTTGTACATTGGTTTTTTCCCCTTTGTTACTAAGGGGAAACTAGGAAGAAATCAGCCCGTAAATGCAGCTGTAATTACGGGACCACACAGCTGCTCTGGGACAGGTCCTGTCACGTCCGCAGTGGCCTCGTGGACTGCGTTACTGAACCAGGGGGCGTTACGGGACTCGCGAGGTGGCTGTCGTGTGCCATCTCCCTCCGAGGCCGTCGGCAAACATGACCGTGCGAAAATCCCCCACTTCTGAAAGCGTTTGTTGGGAGCCGGCCCTGCCGTGACACAAGGGTGTGGGGGGTTCTGCTCAGGGTCTCTAAGGGTTGGGCACTGCCCCTCGATGTCACGGTCACCAGCGGCGACAGGGAAGCAGGAAAGGACTTTTGGGTTTTTCGGTCTTGGGCTCGGTGAATCCCAAGGACTACGTGGGTGTGAGAGTCACAGGTGCTCAGACTGGGGGACGCGGGACTGCGAGGGACACAGGAAGAGGCAACGACTTCTCCTCGGAGATGGGGAGGAGAAGCTTCCGGAAGGCGGGACCTTTGCCGTTTGAGCTGCGGCGGGGAGGAAGGACGGCGGGGAGGGCGCAGCAGAGGGCCTCGAGAGGCTCTGGAATGCAGGGGGCCTGCAGGAGGAGACCCTGGGTGACGGCCGAGTGGGCACAGCAGGGGATGGGCAGAGGGGAAGGGCCCAGGTGAGTTGGGGGTCAAGGGATGGCATGTGCCAGGCTAGGCACCGCCCGCTGCTGTGGAGCCTGGGCACCTGTGATCAGAGGGCCGAGGGGCCGGCGAGGTATAGAGATGCGGGGGAGGGTCCCTGAGTGACCAAGGGCAGCCGCCCCTCCCCCATGCCCAGTCAGGACCTGTCGGCTTCCAGAATCCTCCTGTGTCTCCCCGCCGAAGCCCCTGCCCAGAGGCTCAGGGCTCACCCCAGTCTTCACCTGGGGGAGCTGACCACCACCTGGAGACACAGCCACGCCACCCCGGCGGTGGTGGCCAGCAGCCAGCCCCTTCCCCGGTGTCGGGCTCGACAGGAAGGGGGCCCTGGGGCGGGGGACGGGGGAGCCTTGGCCTCATTTTTCTCTCACATTTTCCCAACTATGGGCCAGGGAGAGGCCACAAGGGTGCCCGCTGTGACCTCGTGTGGCATGGGCCCCACCCCCAGCTGCCTCCACCCGGACGGGCTGCCCATCCCAGCGTCTCCAGTTTCCGCCCGGGCACAGGGACCGGTGTTACACACTCTCAGACATTCTCAGACTGACCGCGACCCCTACCGAGCATTGAGAATGTCAGCTATGGCCCCATCAAGTGCCACCACCAACCCGCCTGGATACTGGCTCGGCTGTCTTTCCAGGACAAATGACAGAAATTCAAGACTGTTTTGGAACCACGCTGGCTCGTTTGCTCACTGGTTTAAGCACAGTGCCAGCTGGGCCAGGCTCACGGGGACGCTGGCTTTTCCCTAGGCCCGCATCGCCACCCTGCCAAGCACCTGTCCGAGGGTGCCAGCTGCCCCGGGGCAGAGGGGAAGGAAGGGAGGTAGGTGGCTCCCAGCCACCGTGCCATGCCTTGGACCTCTAGTGCCAACAGCTGGTCCCCGACGCTGTCCTGTGAAAGGAGTTAGTCTGACCTTGTCCCTTTCCTGGCCGTGCGAAGCCCCAGGGTGCTCCAGATGGGGAGGGTCACTGAGAGGCGGCCGGTCCTGCAGTGACCCCGGGTGCCTGCTCAGGGGCGGGGCCCAACCCCACCGGGCGGTGGGGGCTTCTTGGATGCCCTTCGGTCTCCGTCTCCAAGGCCTGGGGACCCAGATCCCAGAGGGGACCAGCCGCTCTCCTCCTGGACCCAGCACAGCCCCCGGGGTCACCGTCACCCACTCTTCAGCAGGGTCTCTGCTGGCACCACCTGCCACGTGCCTGTCCTGGACTCTTCCCAGCTGCGACCTTGGGGAGCCTGACAGGTGGAAGAGGGGTCAGGGGTGGGGCTCCCAGGGGTGCAGCCTTGGGGTCCCATTCACCTGGGACGGGGGCCACCCCGAGATGACCTCCGGGCTCCGACCTCTGGGGGGATGGGCGGTTAGAGGCCCACGGGGGACGTGTCCCCACGGCAACCGCAAGGCTCTGGGAAAGGCCATCGTTTCTAAAGTCATCAGAAACGACAAGTAAAGCAGAGACATCTCCTAACATCTTTATTGTTCCTTAGATAACTGGAGAGTACAAAGTTCCCCTCTTTTTTACTTAAAAAATGTACTTTCCGCACGCACGCGCCCTCGGGGACGTCCCTTCCCCACAGGGATCCGGTTCCCCTCGAGGAGCCCTTCTCGCCCGCGCTTCTGTGGTTTGGGTAACTGAACAGGAAGAGAAGAACCCCTCCGATTCTAATCGGCGTGAACTTGACTATCTCTCTACAAGGGTGAACACTGATTATTATTACTATTATTATTATTGTCGAGAAACAGGAGCCGTCCACTTCGGGCCCGAACTACGGCACTGCATTACAACATCCATCGCTAAACTGAACGCACAGGGCAAACCACCTCAAAGGAGCAAGGACAGACGCTGCACGACACACTACGGGGCAGGCACGTTCACACGGGCGGGGGCCGCGGCCGGCCGGCCCCCGCACGCACTGGACACGGGTCCACGGGCTACTGGAGTCTCGGCACGGTAATCTACGACACGACACACGGTCGAGGGACAGCAGCCGTGACGGAACTGAACGCACAGGGCAAACCACCTCAAAGGAGCAAGGACAGACGCTGCACGACACACTACGGGGCAGGCACGTTCACACGGGCGGGGGCCGCGGCCGGCCGGCCCCCGCACGCACTGGACACGGGTCCACGGGCTACTGGAGTCTCGGCACGGTAATCTACGACACGACACACGGTCGAGGGACAGCAGCCGTGACGGGGGGCGC